GTCCTCAGAGGTGGCAACGTGTCTGCAGCCTTCTATGTTTGAAGCTGGCTGTAGGTGCGCATTGGCTGCGTCCATGAGCAATGTATACAATAAAATACGCTTTTACAACAAAATCAAAGAATATAATATCAAAGAATACATCAATAAAAATAACCTCTGGGAATGAGGTGATCGCCACCATGCGTGTTATAATATATATATATATATATATATATATATATATATATATATATATATATATATATATATATATATATTAATAATATATTTAAATATTAAAAAAATTATTGTAAAGTGAAATATGTTTTAAAAAGAGTCAAACCAGTTGTAAATAAAACATGACATTCAATAAGTTTTATGTAATAATCTTTATTGAAAAATTTAAAAATTATACTATGTAATCTATTCTCTGTAATATATCTACTCACCAGTAGGGACATTGTATAAAGAAATCACAATTGATACATAAATATAAAGGACATAACAGACTTCCATTTGGCACGATCCTGACACACCTCTCTTGCCTCCTTCACATCCATACACCTACGCATATATGCTCGTCGGTTAAGGGTACTCCTAATTTGGCCCGTTTTCAATAAATCGCCAATTTGGTCGATAAATTTTCGCCTAGGACGTCCCTTTCCGACTCTGCCATTCACTTCTGCACCATAAATTTTCTTTGTCACTTCTTCCTCATTCATTCTTTCCACATGACCAAACCACCGAAGCATTCCTTTCTTAATCCTGGTCACAACATCATCTTGCAAACCACACTCTTCTCTTATTACACAATTTCTTACCCTGTCATTCAGATTCAGCCCTAACATACTCCTTAACGACCGCATTTCTACTGCGTTTATTCTACTCTCGTGCTTCTTCTGCCACACCCAACTTTGACTACCATACGTTAAAGTAGGGACCAACACAGCATTGTGAATTGCCATACGTGCCTTTTTCGACACATTTTGACTCTTCACAATAGAGTGCAAGGCCCCATTTACTCTATTTCCCGCATTCACTAGTCGTTCTATATCCTTATCATATTATGCGAGCTAAATACGCAGCCCAAATATACAAACTCATCTACTTGCTCGATCAACTCCCCTTCTATTCTTATTTCACAAATCGTTTTACTTTCTTCTCTTTCAAAAACCATAACCTTCGTCTTACTTGCGTTCACTTTCATACCCCTTTCTTTTAATGATCCGTTCATTAATGTAACCATCATTTGCAACTCGGCCGCCGACGACGCAAGAATAACTTGATCATCGGCGTGCAAAAGGCATTTGACGGTTAACTCACCCATTCTTAATCCGCATTCTTCAACTTTCAAATTTTGCAAACAACTGTTCATAAATAGGTTGAACAGCCACGGGGAAGCCACACAGCCCTGTCTGACACCTTTATGGATGTCAAACCAGTCCGAGTAGACCCCGTTGATCCTAACACAAGAACTAGAGTCCCTATAAAGAGACTCCAATGCCTGTATCAAGCCAGCGCTCAACCCAAATGAGTTCAGTGTTTGCCATAGCAAATCCCTATCCACTCTGTCATAGGCCTTTTCCAAGTCCATGAACGCACAAAAAACCTTTTGGTTTTTGGCCAGAAACTTCTCCGCGAGCATGCGCATGGAAAAGACTTGATCTGTACATCCCATTCCCTTTCTAAATCCCGCTTGCACATCCCAAATTTTTCCACCAGTTTCTTTCATGACCCTTTCAATCAGTACCTTAGCATACAGTTTTCCCACGATGCTAAGAAGGCTGATGCCACGGTAGTTTTTACAGTCCCGCTGCGACCCTCTTCCTTTATATACTGGGACTATCACGGCTTTGCACCAGTCTACCGGTACCCGCTTCAGTTCCCAGCATAAATTAAACAAGGTGTGCAGCAGGCCTGCCACCACTTCCTCTCCAGCCCTTAGCATTTCGAGTGAAACTCTATCATATCCGGCAGCCTTACCTGCTTTCATGCTTTTCATTGCTTTCATTATTTCATCTATACTTATCTCGCTACCTCTTTCCTCTTCTTTCGGTGTTTCTACTTCACTTAGTACACACGTTGTCTCCTCACTTATAAACACGCTGCTTTCAAAATATTCCTTCCATCCCTTTAAACTCAAAACTTCATCATTCAGAATATACCCATTCTCGTCTCTTATAGCATTCATCATAGGCTGTTTTGAATGTCCCCTGGCAGTTCTTACAAGTTTCCAGAACATTTTAATATTTGCCTGGAAGTTATCCGATATTCTTCTATCATTCTTATCCGTTCTTTCTTGCTTTTTTCTTTCAACTACTTCTTTTAATCTCTTATTAAGATGTCTAAAGACTGCCTTTTTTCTTTCAATATCACCATTCGTACCACTAGAATTAGCAGCCTTTGTTGCTTGTAAATCTAGCCATGCTCTCTTCTTTGCTTCAACTTCCATGCGTATCTCATCATCCCACCATAACGTATTATTTTTCCTTTCATTCTTTCTCTTACTAACACCACATACTTCGGTAGCTGCATTCACTAAACCTTTTTTACATTTTGCCATATATTCTCCAAGTCTAACTCATTCATACATAATTCATCCAAACCACTTACATTTTCTTTCAGTCTACATTTGAACTTATTTTCATCACTTTCATCTTGTAACCTTTCTGTTCTAATACGCTGTAACGCAGTGGTAGACACAGACGATCGATGGCGCCAACGCCTGAATAGACCATTAATTCGGCATAAAACTAAATAATGATCCGTTCCTACGTTAGAACCCCGGTAAACTCTCGTATCTACCACTGCGCCCCTCAATCTTTCATCCACAATTATGAAATCTATCATGCTTCTATCGTCACCTCTTTCCCAAGTATACATATGAATCCTCTTGTGGCGAAAGCAAGTGTTCGTCACAAAAAGATTCTTTTCCATACATACGGTGAGGAGACTTTCACCATTCTCATTTATACTTTCATCACCAAACGTTCCCAATATCCTTTCATAACCAAGCCTCCTGACTCCAACCCTTCCATTAAAATCTCCTAGCATAATAATATTTTCATTTCCCTTACACTTCATTAACACCATCCTTACCATTTCCCAAAACTGCTCTCGGATATAAGTGGGCTTAGACATGTTTGGGGCGTAGACCCCTAACACAAACAACTTCTTTAAGCCCACTTTCATTCGTATCCATAGCAGTCTTGGGCTTACACAGTCATACTCGTTCACAAATTGGCCGATTCTTTCTGAAAGGATGATACCTACTCCCTGGCATGCCCGCTCGATCTCGTCTACACCAGACCAGTATGCGGTATACATGCCATGTGTAGTGACATCCTTCCCCTTCCTTTTCGTCTCATTTACGCATAACACATCTATTCCTCTATCATACATCATATCGCATACTTCATCCATTTTATCATTCATTGCCCCACATACATTCAACGTAGCCAGACGGGCCTCTGCAATCCACTTTTCGCCTCTCCGGGAGACAGAACGTGACGGGTGGCGAACCTCGTTGCCGGTTTTCCTCCCGGAGATTCTTCGCACCCCTGCCCCATTAAAGGGGCGCCGGGAACTCGGGGCCATTTCCTTAATTCGATTCCTCATGGTGCGAAATGGGGTGGTATATTTAACGCCGCTACCACGGCGTGGAGCCGAGTCTGTGGTATCGGCATGTCGCTCATTTAGCACCACCCGGGGGACACGTGTAGGGTGGGCCTAGGAACAGGTGGTCAAAGCCTACGGACGCAAGCGACTTATCCCCCTTTGATATTGTGCAAATATTGGTAAATTAAACATATCTAATGTTAATCACTACTTAAGCAAAGAATTTTTAAACAATAAACATTTTAAAAATAACCGGTTTTGATTTTTGTAGCAGAAACTAACAATTAGCACAAGAAAAATAAACAACTATTAATTACATTGCAGCACTTGTGCAATGTAATTGATGGTTGTATATAAAATAAAAATTGTAAAGTGCAAATAAAGGGCGAGATTAAAGCACTTTTAATTTAGCGCCATCTGTTAGTCGAAGCACGTATCAATAACGAAAATAAAACTTGAGTCGCACATCTATCTCTAGTACATACACACTAATCCAAAAAAAAAAAATGAATAAATACAACAAGAAAAACAACTATAAACTCTATTTAATAAATTCCTTTTCTCCAACTATGACTAAAAATTTAAATAGACCAATGATGTCAAACGTCAATCACTTCACGTTTCAATTAGTGTAGGATTCCGAAAATTTTGAAAGTATCGATACCTACTCGATACCAAGTATCGCATCAAAAGTATCAATACTACTTGGTATCGAGTACATTTCCTAAATTTTGGAGACTTTGACTTTCCAATACGGACCATCGATATATGAGGTTTTAGGGGTGGGTTGCGGGGAGGGGTGGGGGGTTGGCTACCCCCTTGTATCCTCACCCTGCGGAACCCCATGGTTATGGAGATATTCATGGTTAAAGTTTATTATATTGTTTATTATTATTCTCGTTTCCGTATATCTGATGAAATGGAGGGGGGGATATGGGGGAGGAGGGGTAAAATGAACCAGATTAAATGAAGAAAATGTTGGGGCTTATGCAAGAAGGGGTAGTAGCGGGGAAGTGGTGTGGTGGGTTAGTAGCGGGGAAGTGATGTGGGGAGGTTAGAAGCGGGGAAGTCGTCCTCCGGCGCTCCGTGGCTCCGTGGGTAAATGTTTTATTAAAGAAAAATTATACAAGATAAATTTATTATAAATATGTTTAAATTATTTTTTAAACATATTTGAAAGATGTTTAAAAAAAAGTCCCGCTGGGTTTCTTCCTGGTTCTTCCCAGGACAGAGGTATTTTTGCGAACCAGTGGTAAATAAAAAATTACTTTTAATAACTATTGTACAATAATCAATATTGAATAAAAATATTCATTTCATTTCATTTGCAGTAGCCACTTACCATCAGGTGTACGGTAAATTCGGTTTGTCACAGTTTTATAACAAAAAAGTTTCAATTTCAGGTCTAACCTCGATAACTGTTGACGTCACTAAAGATGCCTGTGACGACGCGTACGCTTATATAAACGACCTGGCAACGGAAGGTATGGTTGTGTTCTCAATGAAAGCTAGGAACAGTTGGAGGCTGGATCACCGAAGCTTCGTCCATGATGACAGCGCCATGAACTTCACAGCTGCAGGTATTTTTTTAAGTATAATAAGTGTAACTTGAGTTGTCGTGTGACCTTGAGCTTAATATGGCGAGCTATAAATAGTGTTTCTATGTGTAATAGACTTACAAATAAGAATTTTCGCAGAAGAACGAGTGAAACTAAGTTAGCCAAATGGATTAGTAAGCTGAAGTGGCAAAAGTCCGGCCATATAGCTCGAAGAATTGACAATATATGGGGAAGAAAGGTTCTCGAGTGGTAGCCTCGTGCCAGTCTTGGCCCTCCAATAATAGTGATTACATGCAAGTCGATGGTCGATGCATGCTGGTTGCTTAGGACCGTGCTTGTGGCTTTCCTTGGAGAAGGCCAACTTTTAGCAGTATACTTATAAATAGATGTAATGAATGAAAATAAATTCTTTGCCGTGTGGTGCGGAACCCAACATTCCATTACATCTCGTGAGTGTCGTAATATTGGGGTATTACAAAAAGATATCTATCTATCCATTCATAACAGCCTATAAAAGTCCACTGCTGAACACATAGGCTTCCCTCACAGACTGCCTCATGGGGAGGTTTTGCCATAATTGCCACGCTTCGCAAGCGGGTTGGCAACCGCAGTTTTTATTACCCCGAGCTGTTATCAGGAAGATGCTGCCCTCCTGTTTCATTTTCTCTCTGTCGCCTCTTACGAGACCCACGGCACGAGGGATGTAAATAATCTTACAGCGCCACTACAAGGTTGCAAAGAGATAATATTGTTACAAGCTTGGGGTTCGTAACAATAAAAACTGTCGATTGAATTACCAAAATTGACACTAATAACTGAACGCCAATTAAAACTTAAATCACACTAATAATTATTCACACTTAACACTTTAGTTCACTTTATTTCACTCCGAAAGCTTCACCCGTATCTCCAATTCAATACTGCCCCGTTCGCGGCCTCCAATTACCTTAAATAGGCCTTTTCCACCAAATCATTTAGAATGTTACAGCAAATATCGGTCCCGACCGTCTAAGTGCAGAAAGTTCGAGTGTGGACTTTTTTAGAAAGCTTAATTCTTCTATTCAATACTAGATGGCGCTGTTGGGAGAGTTCTAGAAAGATCTTGACACTCCTATTTCTGATACTTGATACCAGATGGCGCTAGTGCCATCAACTGTCCCGTGCAACGATATGGCTAACAATTCATGGCGGTATAGCCATCTAGCTACACGGCTACATCAGATCCAAAATACCCAGAACGGCGGCGATTATAATATCAGGCGTAATCGACTGTATTGCGATATCAGGCGTTAACACCTGAGTGGTGGTGTTAGAATATTTACTACCCCATATTGTCCCGTGGGTTTTGTAAGAAGCGAAAGTGGGAAATGAACCAAGAGATGTGTGCCTTCCTATTAACAACTAAAAAATTAAAAAAAGCGGTTGCCAACTCGCGTACCAAGTTTAAAAAAATATATGGGTGCAACCACCACGTTTTTTTATAGAATAAAGGTGAAAAACGAGCACACAGTCCACCTGATGGTAAGAGGATGAGAGGAGGTTGCTGTGGCCCATAGACATCTATATTTATCTTCAATTATGAATCAAAATGCAGATATGTTGTCAACTCCTGAGGACTGAGATGGAATGCCTCGTTTCCAGTAAAAAGGATCTCCGGTTCTCTACACTCACCACATGAAACACAGTCAGCATTAAGCTGCTATTTTACGCTGGTATTCTATGAGAGCATGGTTCCCCCCGGTCGAGTCGACCCATTCGTGCTGCAAAAATAATATAGCTGCAGCATGGCTCTACCACATAAAATGTAGTGACTGTGCTAAACATCCCTCCTATTAGACAGAATTTAGGGGAAGCTTATGTTTCGCAGCAGATTTTGGATAAGCTGTAACCGTTGTATGTAATCATGCACACCGTAACTGTGGTCAGTGTCATCTAGACTAGATCATTAAGTCATAATTTAAACACCAGATAAAGCCATTAAAAGTCCTCTACTGAAGTTTTACGCGGTATAGCCACGCTGCAGCTATATTATAGCTGTAGCATGAATAGGTTGGCTCGACCGGGGAGGGACCAAGCTCTCGCGGAATACCAGCGTATGATAGCAGTTTAATACTGCTGTGTTTTGTACAGTGATTGTAGAGAACCGAAGACCTTTTTTACTGGAAACGAAGCATTTCATAGTACTCCTCAGGGGTGACAATGCATCCGAATTTTGATTCTTGATCGAAGGTAAATGTAGATTTCTATGGCATGGTATTTTTATGGTTGACTGTCTGCTCGGTTACCCTCATTCTATAAAAAGTGTATTTTTGATAGGACGTAATAGTAACAGTGAACCATAAGTCCCAAATATGTTATCTGAAGCTTCATCGAGGAAATATGTCTCTACTAGAATCACGTCATCTATTTCAGGGTATGTCATCAATTGGAGAGACGGTTTATTCAGCATAGCGCTTTCGGAACCCGACTCAGAGGGAAAGAGAAGAGCATTCTATCACCCGTTGGTGTCAACTCAAGAGTTCTCCATCAACACGGAGTATTTGAAAGACTCCAGAAAGTTCTCAGGGCTCAATACCGTAAGTACAATGTAAGAATATTACCATTTTGTCTATAAGTACATTTAAATCATAATCAGGATCATTACAGGCCTTCACGAGTCCACTGCTGAACATGGGCGTCCCCCAAAAGTATGGTCCTGAACCAACGGTCCACTAGATATAGTGACGACTAGGTAATATACACAGGAATTAGAGAGATGCAGGTGGCTCAGGACCTCAGGCCATACATATAAATCAAATTGAAATGTCTGGCTGTAACACACAAATAACTGGCTCAGGTACTATCTGCTCTTATGTCACCCCTATATTATTAAAAAAAAAAAGAATTTGTTTCAGTATCTCGGTGAACGTGGCTCTAACACGCAAAGCGGTTCCCATGATTATCACGCGCCTTCCAGAACAATGTTCTACGCGAATGTCGCACAAGACGCCATTTTGTGTTGGAATATCGACACCAACATGGCGCCGAATAATGTTGCAGTTGTAGCGCGGGACCCTAAGAAACTTGCCTATATTTCTGGTAAGTTCTACAGAAATCTAATACATACTTATGTATAAATTAATATTTATTATTTGTTCGTTTTCCATATCAATAAAACGACGAATGGTAAAGAGACTGTCCCAAATAAGTCCGATACTTAACACTCAGGATCATCTAACCTAACCTCTGTTTCAGATTTAAAAGTAATAGGTGATCACGTGTGGGTGCTGGTCAACCAGATACCGAAGTTCATATACTCCAGATTCGATACGGACGATTACAATTATTTTATACAAAGGTAACTAGTTTTTTTTTAATTTGCTTGAGGAGTGCAGAGAATTAAAGACTGGTAACGAGGCAAAGTCCTCAATGGTAACAACATATCTTCATTTTGAATCTTATTCGAGGATAGATGTAGGTATCTGCGGGCAACACTGTATGTGAGTCAGTGAATATGGATATTTTTCTATAGTATCGATTTCTTAGCGATAATATAGAACCGTAATTTACCCGAAATATAGAACTGTCATTTATATTATAGACTAGATTCCCCCCCCCCCCCCCCCCCCCCCCCCACACAAAAAAAAAAAAAAAAAAAGCAAACACACACACCCCCCCCCACCCCCAAATAAAAAAAATTACTATGTTGTATTTGAAAAAAATCAATATGACAGGCAACAATTTTTATTTATTTATCATATTGTTACGAGCTTAGAGTTGGTAACAATTAAAAACTGCCGATTGAATTACCAAAATTGACACTTTAATTACCGAACACCAATGAAAACTAAATGTACTCATTAGTTGAACCGTGTTCTCGTTTTTTAATCTTAATCTACAGAAAAAAATCGAAAATTGGTGGTACGTACCCGCAGAAATAGCAGTAATATAACAATTATTACGATTTCTGTGTACGTACCTATCGAAGATTTTAAGATCCGACTCCAGAATCTATTAAAATATGTGGAAATTGTTTTACTCTTTTTAATTTTAGCAATAATATAAAAATAACATTCAAATATATACAATATTTATGACCATAGTAAAAAAGCTAACACTAATAAAATATATGAAATTTATTTTAAATAAAGTCATTGTTTGAATTAATTGTACAGTTTATTGAAAGAAACATTAAAATAAATTAAAAGTAAAAATTAAAATTAAATTAAATCATTACCTGTAATGATCCTGATAATTATTTTGTAGTCCTTGTGATCCTGACCAGGACACAAGGATAAAGTAATGATTATACAGGGTTCTTTTGCAATAACCGGCCAAATTTGCAGAGAAGGTTCAGAATAAATATTATAGGCAAATGGTGAATAAAAATTAATCCAAAAAATCTCAAACGTTTTGTCCCTTTTATATTCTAAATACAAAAAACGAGGTAATGGATTATTTTAACTGATTTTACAGCGCACGCACACTTTCGTAAGGGTCGATCGATAGGCAAAAACTTTGTTGCCTATAACCACAGATTAATAAATAGTGCTATAACTTACATTTAATTTGGGATAATTTCACATAAAAATAGTAGCGTTATTTACTCGTACCTACTCTCAAAAACTGCGGTAACGGTATATCACTATTTGTATATTTGAACTTAAGTTTAAAATTTGGTTACTATTTGAAAAATAACCTTGTATAGTATAATTTTAAGTATAATTTAAATTGGCTTAAAATTATACAATTCTATTTAACTGTAAATAGATAGTACGAACCCTCTTTTGGGGGCAGTTTTAGTATTAACTTATGACTTCAGTTGAATTGTATTTCATTTATTGTATTATTATAATTATATTTTAAGCTATTGCATAGCTTCTATCGCAGGTCTTGAGCGCGGGGCCGCGGGGACCGAATCCAGAAATTCCGTAACAAAAAAAAACCTCACGCTCCCCACTCCGACGGGCACGGAGGTGTGGCGTTAAAAGCCGTGCATCGTCTAACGTCGTTTCAGTTCGGCAGACTTCGGCACTCGACAGAATTCGGCACGAAAACTCAATGATAAAAATTCCTGAATAACCTACATGTTTTAAACAATATTAACTTCTCATTTATTCAATAAGAGAAAAAAAAGTTGTTTTCTTATTGGTCACCACGCTCAAAAAGTGTAACTTGATTTAATATCAAAGACTTAACTGCATAAATAAAATAAATAAATAATTATAATTGCATAAGTTGATAAAAAATGCTATGCAAGAGTGCCACACGTATTTTTTTATTTTGTTTTTAACGTGTAGTGATATATGAAATGGGTATAAAAATAATGATTTCTTATATTTACGCGAACGTTGCACATGATTAAAACTACTCACAGTGACCGAGTGAAGCCGGCCACAGTCGAGCGTGTGCCTGCTGTACTACCATATGTCAGAGGTGTCACAGACAAGATTGGCTATATCTTGAAGCGAGCTTCTATTAGAACATTCTACAAGCCGCCGAAGAAGATTAGTCTAGTTCCTACCATCCGTCAAGTGTCATATTCCTCTACAAGATGCAGGAGTGTACAAGCTTGATTGTGAATGTGGTCTCTTTTATATAGGACAAACCAAAAGATCAATTAGGACCCGCGTAAAAGAACATATAGCTGATGTGAAGCATCAACGTTCCGGGAAGTCTGCAGTTTGTGATCATATCCTAGACGGCCCCAACCATTACATCAGATTTGATAGACCACAAATCCTCGCGAAAGAACACCGATTCCTACCAAGGATGATACGTGAGGCTATTGAAATTAAAAAAACATCCTAATTTCAATAGAGAAGGAGGCTGGGTACTACCACCTGCTTGGGATCCTATAATCAATAAAATTAAAACTAAACCCAAGCATACCACTGCAAGACCTCAGGACATAGTCAGTTCATTTTGCATAGATCGGACCATAAACAATAATTAAAAAAGCTGAAGGTACTCCGGGTTTAACAATGACATCGGGACGTCAATCATCTCAGTCCCCCGTGACCATGGGTGCTGAAAAGCACCCGAAACGTCGGGAATTAAAAATAAAAAGTAAAAATAAACGCGATAAAATCCGTAAAAGTAGTTTTAATCATGGGTATAAAAATTCTGAAATAAATGACTATTTTTATTATAATTATTGTAAAGTAAAAGTTAAAGTAAAGTTATAGCCTATATACGTCCCACTGCTGGGCACAGGCCTCCCCTCATTTCTGAGAGGGTTTTTAGGGCAAGGAAGTGCCCACCGCGCTGCGCCAATGCGTGTTGGCGAACTTCACATGTATTCGAAATATCTTTTTTCTCTTATTCCTCAGATATGCAGGTTTCCTAACGATGTTTTCCTTCACCGCGGAGCACGCGGTAAATCAGCACTTAAAATTGCAATTTACAATTTCATTGGTGCCGGCGGGGATCGAACCCGGGTTACTCAGTAATATTTACAGCGAGCGTTAACCATCTGAGCTACCACGGCTCTATAATTATTGTACTGTCATCAAAATTACATTATAACATTCCTTTAGATAGATAAACGTGAAGCTAGTGAAAACGTGTTAAAAACTTAAGTTATCATGCAATCCCCTTCTTACCCCTGCGATATAGTGCGTTTCCTCGCTGAAGCACTGAATAAATAATAGTACCTATTATTTATTCAATGGTACTACGTACATTCTTAGCCTTTGAGCGGGAAAAGAACCTGCCCTCTTATCACCAGCAACAACGACCAGTCGCGAATACAGTTCCTTCGGGAACTTCATCAGTTATTTTAATTTGTTCAATATACTATTAAGTGCCTACAGTTTTAAAAATCACGTTTTTTTTTTCAGATTGAAAATTGGAGATTTAATTCGCGGAACCGTCTGCGATGTGCGAGGTTTTTGAACATTATGTCAAAGGTGTTAAAGAAAACAGTTCCCTGGATGTTTATAAAATAAAAAGCATTTTATGAAGTATTTTTTTAATTTTTATTCAGTTTTATAAAAATGTTAGGTACACAAACATATAATAAAATCATACTACATTTACTTTTTAATTTTAATCTAAACAATATATACTGTACCACTATATTATTATTTTTATTATAATTCTACTATTAAACCATGAACTGGTGGTGTAAAAATTTCCATCACCCTATAAACAGAAGATAGACACCAGTATTTTTCTGATAACAACTAAAAAAAACTATATATAATAATAATAATAATATTTTATAAAAATTCTTTATTATCTCCACAACCTAGATGGTAAGAAACTGGTGTCGGAGCTAGCAGGAGAGCCTGTGTTTCGGAGCACCAGCACTCTATTAGTACAGATAATGATTAAACTAGTAACCAAAAAAAGAGAGAAAATATAAAGAAATGGTGTGTGTGTGTGTGTGTGAAAAACAAAAAAACCGCGGTTGGCAATCCCAAGCGTGCCAAACGTGGTAAAAATTTTACCTACAAAACCATCTGGGGTAGGCTTGTGCTCAGAAGTGGACTTTTATAGCTTGTAATGTATAGGAATACTACATCTATTTTCCAGGTATAAACCAGGTGCGGGGCTGATCCTCCCAAAATTCCGGGATTCTCGACGAAACCGTCATTTGAGATATTTCCGCATCGTAACTGACTCACAATTCAGTTATAGATACTATACTAAGTATATTAGTTACATAGCTACTATACTAAGTGTAGTTACACTTCTTATACTTTGCTTCCTTAAACACTTAAATAAAATTGAAGTTTTGATGATAATTGATGTATGTATATCAATTCGTGACTTAAAACTGAGTGGAGACTATTTTGGTTCATATTACGTTATTCCCTTTTTTAAAATATTTTTGTTAAAGATAAAAAATCTGTTTTACTTGATTTATTTTTCTTTGTTATAATGTATATGCCAAATAAACTTATATCTTTCTTTCTTTCTTTCTGAGTGTCTCTCCGCAATATCGATATAACTGCCTCATATTTATCGAAGGGGGCTATTTTAAAATATTTTTGTTAAAGATAAAAAAATCTGTTTTACTTGATTTATTTTTCTTTGTTATAATGTATGTGCCAAATAAACTTATATCTTTCTTTCTTTCTTTCTGAGTGTCTCTCCGTAATATCGATATAACTGCCTCATATTTATCGAAGGGGGTTATTGGCGTTCCATTGATTATTAGGCTCACTTTACACTGCTGCGGAACGGAATGGAAGCGAATTTTTGTAAAGAAATTGTACATAGTAAAATGAGTCTTATGTTAATTTTGTAACGCGCAAACTAGATATGAGCCATTTCCACAGACCACACCGACAGTAGCTACGGTAATCCTCGAGAATTCGCCGGAAGACTCGCAACTTCTTTTTTGGCTCATAAAACTGTTGATATTTTTTAAAATATCGGATTTTCGATATACCGATAATATATAAATATATCAATATCGGAGTTTTATATATAAGTTTATTTATCGATATGTCGAAAATTCGATATTTTAGAAAATATCAACAGTTTTACTTTGAACTGATCAGTTAGAATGATCAGTTGAACTGACCGTGTGTGGCGTCCATTAGACTCATTTTACTATGTGCAATTTTATACGAAAATTTACTTCCATTCCGTTCCGCAGCAGTGTAATATGAGCCTTACCTTAACCTTAACCATTTTTAACACTTTCGTTGTCCGGTTTTAAGACAATAATAAGTCAAAAGCAATAATCCATCTGCATGGGACGGGCAGAGAAAGGGTTAAATTTGTCTGACCGGGCTCATCTTCAGAATGACTATAAATAATAAAAAATACGTGTGGCACTCGGTGACTGCCGCGGTAAAGCTATTGCATAGCATTTTTTATCAACTTATGCAATTATAATTATTTATATATTTTATTTATGCAGTTAAGTCTTTGATATTAAATCAAGTTACACTTTTTGAGCGTGGTGACCGATAAGAAAACAATTTTTTTTCTCTTATTGAATAAATGAGAAGTTAATATTATTTAAAATATTTTAATATCTTACAATACATGTAGGTTATTCAGGAATTTTTATCATTGAGTTAGCAGCTAGTGTACACGCATACGTCTAGTCGCACGCACACAAACACCGTGCCGAAGTCTGCCGAGTGCCGAAGTCTGCCGAACTGAAACGACGTTAGACGATGCACGGCTTTTTTTCGTTACGGAATTTCTGGATTCGGTCCTCGCGCTCAAGGCCCGCGATAGAAGCTATGCAATAGCTTAATAAATAATATATTTCTGGTGTTCATGCTGTTTTACAATGGATATTATACGTTTACGTGCAACAATAAACAAATGATAACCTATTAACAATTCATTTATTTAATTAATTGATATTTTAGTTGCATAATTAATTTCAATCTGTAATTTTTAATGATTAATATATTTAAATTAATTTTCATTATATACTTTATTTAAATATTATCACTATTCAATAAAAGAAATATAAAATTTTGAGTTATTCTTACGAGAACCTCTCCTGCAGGGTAAAGGCCTCCTCCATTTTTGACCATTGTTTTCTATCTTTCGCCTTTGTTTTTTTTATAGAAGAGGGGGCAAACGAGCATGCGGCTCACCTGATGTTAAGTGATTACCACCGCCCATGATCAACCGCAACACCAGGGGAATAGCAGGTGCGTTGCCAGCCCTTTAGAAAGGAGTAAGCTCTTTTCTTGAAGGTCCCCAGGTCGTATCGGTCCGGAAAATCCGCCGGTGGTAAACTATTCCACAGAAAGGTTGTACGCGGAAGAAAACTCCTTTTGAAACGTACAGTGGTGGACCGCCAAGCATCCAGATGGTGTGGATGGTATCTGGACGTTTGCCGCGTAGTGCGTTCACGAAATTTGACGGCTGGGATTAATCCGAACAATTCCTCAGAGCACTCTCCATGGTATATGCGAAAGAAAATGCAAAGAGATGCAACATCTCTTCGCAGTGCCAGTGAATCGAGCCGATCGGAAAGCACTCGGTCGTCGACGATTCGAGCCGCTCTGCGCTGGATGCGGTCAAGTGGAAGGAGCTGGTACTGGGGAGCCCCTGCCCAGAGATGGGAACAGTATTTCATGTGCGGCCGAACCTGCGCCTTGTAAAATTGCAGGCGGTGTGCCGGCATGAAATACTGACACGCTCTGCTGAGCACGCCAAGTTTTTTAGAGGCCAATTTGGCCTTCCCTTCCAAGTGACCACGAATCTGCACGTCACTCGATATGTCGACGCCGAGGATTCCAATACTGGCTGAGGCAACAAGGGGAGTGCCTTGAAACTGAGGTGATACGACAAAGGGGTTCTAGCGGTTAACGCGCAAACTTGTGTCTTCTGGGGGTTAAACTGGACTAGATTTAGTCGCCTCCAATCCGAGACTCTGTTCAGTAAAGACTCGACTTCAGACACAAGTTTATTCCGGCACTCGGAGACGTTTTCCCGAGAAATATTGGCTCAACCGGTGTAAAGAGCATCACCAGTGCTGTTATCTGCATTGCAATGAATGTTACGGGTTTGCAACATATCATTGATATGCAGAAGAAACAGCGTTGGCGATAGCACGCAGCCCTGTGGAACACCAGCATTAATAGGCTTGCAATCGGAGCTTGCACCGTCAACAACGACCTTGATGCTCCGATCTGCAAGAAAGCTGGTGATCCAATCGCACAATTTCTCGGGAAGCACATAGGAAGGGAGCTTCGAAAGAAGGGCTTTGTGCCAAACCCGATCGAAGGCCTTCGCAATGCCAAACTAACGGCCAATGCCTCCCCCTTGGACTCTACTGCCTACGCCCATCTGTGAGTTAGGTAGACCAGAAGATCACCAGCTGACCGACCACGGCGAAAACCGTATTGGCGGTCACTAATCAGCTGGTGATCCTCAAGTAACCTCATGAGCTGGCAGTTTACAATGGATTCCATTGGAGAACAAGGAGGTGATGGCGATAGGCCGGTAGTTGGACGGGTCTGAGCGGTCGCCTTTTTTAGGGATCGGGTGGACGAAAGCCGTCTTCCATGATTTTGGGACTACGCCAAGGGAGTAGGAGTATCGGAAAAGACGCGTTAAAACCGGTGCCAACTCTGGAGCACACGTCCTCAGCACAATTGGGGGGATTCCGTCAGGCCCACTCGACTTGTGGAAGTCCAGGGAGAGGAGTGCTTTGCGAACCGAGCGCTTTGTGAACTGCACTTCCGGCATGGAGCACTCACACCACGGGATGGTCGGCGGCGTACTCCCCCCGTCATCGAGAGTCGAGTTAGACGCAAAGAAAGAGCCTAGAAGATCGGCTTTCTCCTTTGCGGTATGGGCCAGAGAGTCGTCCTCCTGTGCAGAGATGGAAGAGATGGCTGATAGAAATTCCCCTGGACAGCCTTGGCGAGAGACCAGAATGCAAGGGTTCCAGAAGGAAGGCGAACTAGTTTCTCGCTAATTCTGCCTATGTGCTCTGACTTTGCCTTGGCAATGACTCTTTTGAAGGACCTAGAGGGGAATTATACTTCTTTTTTAGAGCGCTGGTACTTACATCCCGGGACGCTGATGCGTCAGCCCAAGCCTGGCAGCACTCCTGCTTATAGCATGATGCTATTTTACAGGAGCGACCAAACCATGGCTGAGATTTGCCTCCAATGGGCACCACAGAGGAAGGAATAAAGAGTTCCATACCCTGAAGTACCACATCAGCGACAGAATCCGCAACAACGTTGGGATCGTCCGGCGAGAAGCAAAGCCGCCCCCAAAGGTAGGATGCAAAGAAAGACCGCATCCTATCCCAATCGGCTGACCTATAGTGCCAAACACGGCGACAGTCTGCATAATGCAACCGCGATTTCAGCGTGAGTGGCACCACATTCCGGACAAGACAATGGTCCGATGAGCCTAAAGGGGCGTCGACGGAAATCTGATATCCGTCCGGGTGA